TTGGATCTATTTTTCAGAGTGATGGTGAAATTGATGAGGATATTATCAATATAATTCAAGTTGGATGGTTGAAGTGGCGGAATGCATCGGGCTTGTTATGTGATATAAATGTACCCCTCAAACTTAAGGGAAAATTCTATATGATGGTAGTTAGGCCTGCAATGCTTTATGGTGCTGAATGTTGGCCATTAAAAGAGAAGCATAATACTAAGTTAAGTGTGGCAGAGATGAGGATGCTCAGGTGGATGAGTGGCTTTACCCTTAGAGATAGGATACGAAATGAGCATATACGTGAAAAGGTTGGAGTAGCTCCAGTAGAAGATAAGACTAGAGAGAGTCGCCTTAGATGGTTTGGTCACATAAAACGGCGGCCTTTCGATGACCTGGTTAGGAGAGTAGAGGTATTATATTTGACTTATGTTAAGAAAGGTAGGGGTAGACCTAAAAAGACTTGGTTAGAAAATATTAGGAATGACCTTTCTTTATTAGATTTAAACGAGAATTTGACTTTTAATAGGACACAATGGAGAAAAAGGATTCATGTAGCCGACCCCACGTAGTGGGATAAAGGCTTGATGTTGTTGTTGTTGTTGTAGCCAGGAGATAACTACAATCACTAAACCAGAGGCTCCTGACTACAAAAGAAAAAAAAATGCAGAAAAAAGTCTAAAGAAGAACCTAAAGATCGTTATCAATATCACCGCTCATGATTTTGATTCCTTCCCCGACCTGAAATCATTAAAGTCTACATAATGAGCTCAAAAGTTTAGCAAGTAACCAAAATAAAAATATACTAAGTCACTAATGTAAACCATTAAATAAGCCATTAACCAATTCTCTTTATTAAACCGGCTAACAAAGAATGGAATGAGGGAATTAAGAGAGAATGTGAGGAGAGAGAAAAAGAAACTTAGGGTTTGGAGGTTGTGGAGCGATTTTTGTCTGTTGGCCCTGTTATGAAATTTGCTCGTTTCGCTGCAAGGAACCTCTATTTTATTTTTATTTTAATAATTTTGTGTTTTTGGCATTTTTCGGATCAAAATTTGTATTTTCATTATCGAGAAATAAGGATAATTTTGTATTGATACAACTTTCACTACATAACTTTTTTTATGTGATAAATGTCATCAATATGAACATTTTGACATAAATATATTAAATTTTCATCAGTTAAATTGGAAGTTATTATTTTTTTGAAGTAAATGTATAGTAAATAAATTCAAGAGATTTTCATGTATTATATGAATTACTATATTTCATACATGACATTGACAAAAATATAGCATTTGTATGTAAGGGAGGCTAAATGGATGATTGGTCATTAGCATGAAAGATGAAAACTGATGCTAATTGGTTAATACTTTGGCCTAATTAAAGCTGATGCCCAATTGGGCGACAATTGAGGGAGGCCAATACCAACTAGTTGATAGTTGGGTGTAATCAAAACTGATATCTAACTGGGCAACAATTTGGATTGATTGATATTAATTAATTGACAGATGTGCCTGATTAAGGTTGATAATCAACTGGACAATAATTGGGGTGGAGAATAATGTTGCATTCATGATTACATTTACATGATAATACATTTGAATTGATTTATGGTATAATTGAAATCATACTAGCATCAAATTACAGGCTATTACAATTATGAGGAGAGTCTTGGGCTGCTTGGGTAAGGTTGCTAGTGGGGAGGGGTTGTTTTATATAATTTTATTGTGAGATGTCTCAGTTAATGGACAAAGTGGAGGAATGCATTAGACTTGTTGTGCGATAAAAAATTACCCCACAAACATAGGGGAAAATTATATAAGATGGTGGTGAGACCTGCAATGCTTTATGGTGTAGAATGTTAGTCATTAAAAGAGAAACATAAAATTAAGTGTTGCATAGATGAGGATGCTCAGGTGGATGAGTGGCTTTACTCTTAGAGATAAAATGCTAATGAGCGTATACATGAAAAGGTTGGAGTAGATCCAATGGCAGATAATATTAGAGAGAGTATGATGTAGAGCTACGTATGGATGTAATGATTTTGGAAGATTTTGCACAACTTTGATTAGAAAATAACGAAGAAAACTATGAGCAATTAAAACAACGGAATAAAACGTAAGAGGGGTCACGCCCGATTAGGCTAAGTCACACAACAAGAGATTTGAAGCTTCAAAATAACATAGGAAAATAATATTATGCCAAAATAGTAGCTTCAACAAAATCCTTAGTTTAACCATGAGATTAGTAAACACATGAGTACACTCAATATCCTACGTTTACTAAGTTTAGCAGAAACAAGCGACGGTCGGCCTTCGTGACTACAATCAATATCACAAAGAAAAGATTAGATTTAGAAAATACAAGAAAAGTAGTGATAAGGAAACCTTCATCAAGGATCAGTTGCGATCCTCCACTCTACGATCTCCAATTGCTCTTTGATTGCTTCCACCAAGGTATCCAAGATACGCTCGATGTAATCTTCTACTGTGTGGTCGATCTTCAGGTTGACGTCGAAGAAGGTTGAATGCAAGATGCACACAAACCCGTGCTCGTCGTAGTAGAGGCCGTATTCCATTTATGGGTCAGCCATCCATGGAAGACTTGCTGTTTTTGA